ATTAGAATTGTATTAACTTCCTTAATGCAGTGCAATTCCCATAAGAACAGGTTGTTGTGATTGCACAGTGAAGGATAAAAGTGTAAACCAATGGGATATCAGGATCAATTTGATTCGATAGGAAAAGCTGGAATTTGTGATGGTCTTATTGGCTGGACTTCTTGGTCATGCCCACTAGTGCAACACAAGGTCATCATTGAAGTTTAACTGCTTTCTAGGAAGACACTGTTTTAAAGTCCCCATTTAATGGGATCTTTAAAGCGGTGACTTAGTACCTTAACTTCAGTTAAAGTTTCAAATGTAATGCTGACGTAGAGCCAAAACAAAATGAAATGAGTCACTGTCCAAATACTTGCAGACTGCACAGTGCATTTGAACATCATTGGTGTATTAGTCAGCTTTATATTGTCCTGCAGCCAGAGCCTAAAGCTGCATGACAAGTGTGAAACATCCAGTACAAAAGCAGACTTGAGTAGTGATACACAAGCCTCCCTACCATGCTGGTGTGTCGGCAAGGGACGAGCCACACTCTGATCAGAAGACAATCTAGGATCTGGAGGCTGATATTGGGCCGGATTCCCATCGGGCTACATGCTATGCCTCCCCTTTTGAGTGTTGATTGCAGAGAGGAGAAAGTGGTTGACTGATCTGAAAGGAAATTACTGGAGAGAGAGCTTATCCATGCCTTTGACTGATAATCAGCTCATTATCGTGTTGATCATTTACAGCTCTCCCTCTCGCCTGCTCTCTATTCTTTTAGCTGTGTCACTGAAGCAGAGCACAGAGACTTTTAATGGCTTGGCAGGGAGCCCACTTTGGTGAGGCAGAGTTAAAACAACCATGCTAGCCCTGGCTAGTCTCCACTTTTAAACAGTACAGGTCTCCCACCCCACTTATCAACCCTCCCAGGGAAGAGAAAAAAATTAAAGAAAAACAACAGCGACAACATATGCAACCCTGACGCGAGCAATGCCCTAGCACCCCAACATGGCTAACTGTGCATGAAATTGAACTGATTGGAGTTATTGACCAGAAGGCTCCAGCCCCCGAGAGGACAGAGAGGAGGGTGGTAGTGGTGGAGAAGGGGGGGGGGGCTTGTCCGTTACCTGATTGAGTGAAAAATCCTCAGCCGGTTGCTTTGAAGCCCGGCACTTTACAGGAAAGAGTGATTTAATGGAAGCTGCCAGACCTCATCAATGTCAGAGCTTGCGGTGAGGGCCCACCGCTCTGCCGTGCTTTATATAAAAGCGCTCGCCGTGACAGGTCCTGATGGACAGATGTTTGCTAGTTGTTTTTAACTGCACAGTAAAAAGAAATGGAGATCAGCCTCCACCTCTGGCTCTAAAAGACAGGCTGTGGAGCGAGAGGGGGCTGTTACAGGCCACCCTGGCGTGCGGCACCCTGGCCCTCTCTCTTTTAGGCCTCTATAAATAGCCCTATTGAATTTTTGCCAGGGTTGATAAGCCTATAATTAATGTGACCATCATTAGGCACGAACATGTTCTTCTCGAGGACCCTGCTGGTGAGGTGAAGTGAGGAGAATGGAGACTGCTCCTCTCTCCTTGTTTTGAGAACGAATTGAGCAGTGTGAGAGGGTGGAAACTAGAGTGATGGCCAACCAGCTTCCTGGTGATGTGCAGGAGGCACCACTTTGTTGTTGAGCTGCAGGATAACACACAGTGTCATCTATCAACTCCCCACAAAAGCCCACTGTGCAGCGTCTTCAGAATTGCATCGGAATTGCATCATTAATAGAGCAGAAATGATTCCCAGCAACTCCCGGAGAATATATTGACCCCTGAGGGAGACTAGAAATAAGACAATGTTTTTACAGGGGGAATATCTAACTAGAGGTCCCATTACCACTTCATCAATATACAGCAGCAAGTGAGTGAGGAGAAGGAGACGAGTTAAAAAAAAAATAAAAAATAGAAAGGAAAAGGAATGTAATAGCTTATAGTGCTAATGGCAGTCTGAGGACTCAAGTCCCAAACATTCAGCCGCCTCATCTCATCTGGGCTGTGTAATTGCCCTCCTGGAAGCTGCCATGTGAAGCGGCTACCTCCATAGTGAAGAGTGGCAGCTGCTGGATGTTCAGGAGCAGGCCTAGGTCAGCTCCCCAAGTGGGGGCTCATTGCAACCATGAGATGTCATAATTAATAGCTATCTGGGGCCCCTGGGGGCAGCGTTGGGTGGGTCGAGATGCTGAGATCTTTTGGGGAAATAGATGCCAAATAGAAAGAGGCGCCAGACTTATTCTCCAGTTAACATATTGTATACTTATCGTCACTTTGCCTTTAGCGAGTACGCCTGTGCAGCATCTTACCCCCTGCTTTTCAGGGATATTTTTTTCTCTCTTGTTTGTATTAGGTTTCCCTTCTGTATCTAAACTTACCTAGTGTGGTGTATCATGGGAACTTAATAATCTTTGGGGACCGGCGTTCTCCCTAGTTAAGTAAATATACATGAGCTGCTGTGCAAGATACAAGCACCTTCAGAAAAATCTCTCTCTCTCTGTCTCTCTCTCTGTCTCTCTCTCTGTCTCTCTGTCTCTCTCTCTGTCTCTCTGTTTCTGTATCTCTCTCTCTGTATCTCTCTCTCTCTCTGTTTCTGTCTATCTCTCTGTATCTCTCTCTCTCTCTCGCCGGAGGGCAAATCTCACTCTGTCTCATCTGCTGCTTAATTTCACTGGAGCGGCCCTCAGTAATGAAGCGCCTTGATGTACATTTGCCAATTTCTGCCTCTGCCACTGCGGTATAATTGGGATGTGACTAAGCATGAATACCCAGCACAGGGTTGGTTGACCTCTTGGCGACCCCGCGAATAGTGCTTTTGTCATAATGGAGGTATTATCTCACATAATCTGGGAATGGAGAGGGATTGTCTGCAGGGTGCCAGGGATGGAAATGAATTGATATAACTCCCCTCTCCTGTGCACCACAGAGGACAAAAAAATGCAAAATACATTTTTTACATGCTCATAATGAAGACATTTTCTTCTTATCTATTGCTGCTTTGTGTTTATTGGAGTAGTAGAGTAGCTTCTGGCAAACGCACGGGTGGGGTTTTTTTTTCCGAAAGGGAGGGAATTTTGATGCTGTGGCATTAGAGGATTTGTGTGTGTGTGTGTGTGTGTGTGTGTGTGTGTGTGTGTGTCCTTTTCCCTGCGTGGGTGCACTTGTGTACTCATGCACATGTTAGTGTGTACGTGTGTCTGTTAATGACCCTGTAAAATGACAAGCTGAGCTGGCAGTGAGAGTACAGCCGACGGTCAGAGAGAGGGAGAGGACGTGGAGGAGGTAGGAAAGTTCAGATGGAGGTGGGGGGCGGGGATGGTTGCGAGGTTGACGGTTCCACTGTGATTCACCACGTTGTCATCAGAGAGACGGGGGCCCCCGAGTGGCCCTCTCTATTCCCACCTGAGAGGCCTGCAAATGGAGGGGCCGCGCTGTCATTATTTACAGCCCGCAGCTTCTAACCTTGGATTCGGAGCTCATCATGGCAAAGGGAAAATCAGATAGGACTTGACGTGTACCCGAGCCAGTGACCTTGATAAGTGTGAGGTGCCTGCAGCAAGAGGTTAGGGAAGAAGAGCCCACTTCTGTCGGCTTTCGGTGTGGATTTGCGCGTGGGTGGGTGCGTGCGTGTACATGTTTATGTGTGTGTATTTCAGCCGGTGTGGGGCGGCGGCTGAAAGACTAAACCATGACTCAAGATAACACGTGGTTGGCCAGCTCATGAACCAAGATACAGCATATGTGGCATTATTATAATTAATTATGCTTGCACTAGTGCTTAAAATATTATAGTAATTGATTAGTATGTTCAACAGAAAATCATTTGACAGTTATTTTGATAATCGGTTAATAGTTTGTGGTTTATTAAGCATAAATACGAAACATATTTTCTGCTGCTACTAAACGTGAGGATGTGGTACTCTTCTCTGTTTAATATCACTCTAAATTGAATACTTTTGGGTCATACAAAATATACACTTTGAAGATATCACCTTGAGCTATTGGAAGTAACGATAGGGAATTTTTCATCAAAACACATTAATGGATGATGAAAATAATTATTTGCAGCCTGATTTTCTTTTTTTTTCTTTTCTTTTTTTTTTACCAGGTAAAAGCCATAAAAACCTTTTTCCAGATCAGCTGTGTTTGTAAATTGGCAGCCTTGGTCTGACAACACATCTGATCCTTTGTTAAAGTAATGATTTTTTTCCTGGGTAAAGTTGTTTTTTTCTTCTTCTATTTGATTGTTTATTTTTTTCCATCTGAACTAGTTACCTGGAGATAACAGGAAAGAGCATCTCTGGACGGGTGATGAAAATGCATTTTTCTTCCCCCACCGAGATGCTATTTGGTCATGTGAAATGATTAATTTCACACATATACAGGTCATCCCCAAAAGCAGCAACATCTCATTCACAAGGGGCCCCCGTCAGCAACAAAACTGGAGGCTGCAATAAAATGAGCAAACAGCAGCACGTACTGTACGTCAATAAATCTTTGGAGGTTAAACCTGAACGCTGTAGAATTTGAGCAGCCCCCCTCTCTCGTCATGCAAAAGTCACTGAGTACATCAGGACTGTTGAGACCAAAAAAATAAATAAAAAATGGCCGACGAGCAGTTCGGGGAGTGTCCTGTGGTAGCAGGTACACACTCTCTCACACGCACAGACTCTGTGTTTGCATAAGTAGGATGGAGCCTTGAATTATGGGGTTTGTGTAAATAAGGAGATGAGACTGTTTTTAGCACACAGGGAAGAAGGAGTGCTTAGATGAGAATAGTGCCTCTATGTGTAGTGGAATTGGTCTTGGGTTGTTTACGACAGCTCACAGCCCTCATATATCACAGCAGCAGTATGTTTGCTGTGAAGCTACAGTTTGTATGCCATCTGCCTTAGCTGAACTTGACCCTTCAAACAGACTTATATTTTGTAAACTGAGCACACTGTAACTGCTGTTTTTATTTCTCTTATTTCTCTCTTTCTTAGTGGATGATCCAGAAACCCCACAAGGTGGCTACCTTCTTTGGGTGCATCGGCACCGACCACTTTGGGGAGATCCTGAAGAAGAAGGCTGAAGAAGCTCATGTTGACGCACATTACTATGAACAAAACGAGGAGCCGACTGGTACCTGTGCAGCCTGTATCACCGGGGACAATAGGTTAGCCACCTCAAAGTCACGCTTGACCAAGGGCTGACCCGCTATCTCGGATTTGAAATAGTCCTTTTGGTTCATTTTTACATCCTCAGGCAGGCAGTTGACTCCTCAGGGCTGGAAGTCATAACAGGGAATCACAGCTCGGCTCACACATCAAAAGGAAAAAGAACAGCTTGAGTGTGTTTTTTCCAGGCCCCCACTCAGTCTGTGCCGCCCCAGTGGGTTGTCATCCATCTATAGGCTGACAGTAGCAATGTGTTAGAGATGGCTGGGCTATCCCAGCTCTCACCTGTCAGCCTGCTCGGCTGTAACAGGGGCTTTAGCATCTCTGGCGACTCACACGCTAGCATCATCATCAGCACGTCTGAGACAGCAGAGGTCAAAGCCTACACACATACACACACACACATATCACTAACAGTGAGGGCTCCAGTTCATGATACACCAGGTGTAGATCAATAACTTCCTTCTCTAAACACTCCACTCCTTTGCAGCCCTTCATCCTCTGCTACAGGAGTTGTCAGTCAGTCAACGGCTTGGACCTCCACTGCCCCGGGAGCCAGCCCTGCTGAATGGTCTTAGTGGGCTTGTTTGATGTGGGCTCTGACACCTGAAAAGGTCAGGTGCCGTGCTCAGGGAGACGAGCTCTGTAATATTTCTTACAGGTGTTTAACAGACAGCTCAGGAGGCCAGAGGAAAGGTCGCCGGCAGGGCTAGATTGGAAGGGTGATGGCTTTGAAGGATTGGGAGCCAGTATGTCACAGCCCCCAGGCTTTGATTAGTGAAAGTCTTCAAAGAAAAAAAAATCTACCTCCCCAATCTGACAATTTGAATTCCAGTCTGTGGAGATACTGTATGTTGTGTAATCACATTTGAGGTATTGGGAAGTTTGGGTTCATTCAGTTTTTACATGTGTAATCAAAGCTTCAATCAGTCAGTCCCTTCAGGATCTCAGAGTTTCTGCGTGATAATTGCAGTCCAATATGACTTATTCTGCATCAGCTTTTCAAAAAATAAATGCTACCAATTTTATGTTATTTTGTGATAAATTAAGTTAATATTTAAAATATTTAAACAATTTAGATTGCTTACTGATAATCCCTCTGCATGATAACCTTCAGTTGGAGTAAAAGGAGCTGCTAGCCTGCGCAGTTGGCAGTAAGATGTTGAATGGAATCCCCTGAATTAGGTCTTTAAGGTAGCCTTCCATACCATTTATCACTGCAATGTGTAAGATTAGAAATAGTTGACTTTTGGTAAATTTAATTAGATTGTCACCTGGCAAATCTTGGTTGTAGGATACACACCCTGAGAAGACAAGTTGTAGGGAAGTCCTTTTTCACCATATTTACAAGCATGCTTCATTATGGATATTGATGCTTGATGCTCACTATGCTAACCATGGGTAGCATTTTTCTCTGACCTCTTTCTATAGCATCACCCTCCTGTCATATGGCTGCCTAAGAGTTTCCCCTAAGTAGCGATGATGGTTGCTACTCATTTTGATGGCCGCTCATAAAACGACAACGTACGAATACTGGCTAATGAGTTATGTAAGATAATGCCACCTGCCTCACTTTCCAGCTCCCACTACTCTCTACTCAACTCAAGTGTTCATTTAGTAATTTCTGTTGTTTTTCCACCTTTCGTTAACAATGGACCACTTTACCAGGTGATATTAAAATAGGAATAGTTTGGAGGTGGTTCATCATTAGCCTTGAAAATCCCTGTGCTTATTTCAATTGCTCTTTTTTGGTGTTCGAGATAACCCCCCTTTTTTTTAAAGAAAAGAAATAAAGATTTCACCTTGGTTCAGACATTCTAAGAATCCATTATCTTCCTTTTTATATCTTGAAGGAACAAAGGAAAGTCTGGGGCCCGAGTGTTTTTAGGGATGTTTTTGAAACAAAATTAAGATGGATGATAAGCAAGGCGGAAGATTTATGGGGTCTGTCTCGGCAGGTCCCTTGTTGCTAACCTGGCAGCGGCAAACTGCTACAAAAAGGAAAAACACCTGGACTTGGACAGCAACTGGGAGCTGGTGAAGAAAGCCAAGGTCTATTATATTGCGGTAAGTGAGACCCTCTACATTCAAAATGACTGTTCCCCAACTCTATTGCCAGAAGAGGACAAAATGTTAAGAGGCTTTATTCAGGAAATGCCTCAGCACGCCTTCTGCATTGTCAATATATCCATTCATCCTTTGTCAAGTGAAATGAGCTATGTTACCTATTGAGACAATACAACTCCATTCTCTCTTTTCTCCTCGTCTTTCTGCACAAAGCTGCAGCACAGTGTGAAATTGTTCTACATGTAATGCATTCATTTATTTCTTTTAACGTGAAGACAAGCCAACAGGTGCTGTGAAAGTGTAAAAATTGATTATTCAAGTTCATTCTGCCTTACCCCCTCCTACACAGTCTTCCCCTTACAGACAAAACACACACACACACACACAGATTGAGGAGGACAGATGTGCGCTTAGACATTCACACACACTCAAGCTGCACCACTGAGGTAATGTCTTCACTTCCAGCTTCTGGAGTAGGATGACCTGCCATGCTCATGTTTCATTGTTTAGGATTACATTTAATTCTGGCAGATCAGCATTTTCTCTGATCTCAAGTCAAGATGATATCCCTGAAATTGCACTGCATTCCATGTCTTTAAGCAGTTCATTATCGGCATAAATCAGCATTACTGCCGAGCCATCAACATTCTCCTTGGCATATTGTCCCAAGTGAAATTCACAATGCTCTCCCTGTTGCCCTCAAGCCCACTAAACATGAGTGTACTGTTCTCCAATAATGACAGAGGTTTCATAATTAGCCGCCCAGTTGCAGAAACAAACACCACACGAAAGGAAAAAAAAAAGAAAGAGAAGCCATCAGTGCTTGTGCCAGAAAGCAGATCAGTCAGTCCATCCTCCAGTTTGTGTGGTCTCATTTTTAGCCTCTGCTTCGCATTAGCAAACACGGCACATCCTCTGCAAATTGGCAGTTGGGTTTTGCCCACATCCGACAGTCTTGCGCGCAGGGAAAAGCTTCCGTGGGATTTGAGGGGGGCCACAAATGGGTGTTTGTCAGTGCTTGGAATCTCAAACGTTGTTTCCACCGTCCCTCCTGGGCCTCTTTGTCAAAACAGGGGGATCATTCGCTTTATTAGAGTCCCATTCGCACTTCTAAAGTACTTAGCCAGATACACTGCCACAGCTATTCCCACTTAATACTGTGTGGCGTGTCTAGACCGGTGTTCACTAAGGCCTCCTCTCTCCATTAACCTTGTCGAGAGCACTCAGATGTATTTACCCAATTTACAGCCAAATTGTACATTTTCTCCCTCTCTCACACTGTACGAACCTCTGCTGTGTATTAATGTGCTTTGTTTATTTTCATGAAACGACTGCTGGGAGGTATGCACAGTCTTGTACACTCTAATCTGCAAATGTAATTACCAAAAAGCGTGCATGTGAGTATGTTAGCATGCTATTTGCTCACACGTGCGTCTATGTTTGTTGGAGCATGTGTGTTAAAGAGGTGATTGATGATTCCTGGCAGAGGCTCTCAAGGTGCCTGCTACTATGTGGTGTGATTGGATGAAAACAGAATTATTAGAGGGCTCTTGCAGCCAGTCTGGCTCATCCAGCAGCAGCGGCGGCAGCAGCAGCAGCAGCAGCAGGGCTGGTGGCAGACGCAGAGCAGGGAGGCAGTACTGCCATTTCTCACAAAGAGAGAGAATGTTGAACTCCTGCCAAATGTTTGGTGGCAGGCTGTTGCTAGGAAATCTGGGTCCTTAGGCAAATCATTGCACAAAGACCAATAACAAAGGCGTGAGGGGGAAGAAGGAATGGCTAAATGCATTTCAGGCAGAGGATATATTTTTTTTTGTTGAATGCCATTGCTGCTGCAGTGATGTTTACAGTTATCTTTCCCCGACAATTGTAAACATCAGAAATGGAGGGTGATGTATTGTGTGAAAGGGAGATGAGTGACTCTAATTGGTGGGGGTGATGTGTGTGTGCTGTCCCAGTTAGCCTCTTCTCCCCTCCTTATCCCCTTCGCTCCCTCTTTCCTTCCATCCCCACCCCCCTTGGCCCTCTATGGACAGGACCCTCCCTCCTCCTCCTCTCCTTTTGCTGTCTCCTCTGCGTCCCCCCCTCGCCCTTCTCCAGTCTATCAGGCACACATACACTTGCTGCTAAACACACACAGCATGCACGCACACATTCTGCAGCATACCACTGGCTTGTTTTTCTTAACACTGAGCGCTTTGCCCTGTAATTTGATCTCCACTGCTTGATGCATCCTCCATGATGCCACTTTGAATTAACCTATGGCTCTACAGCCCTAGTTAATAAAATAGCCTCTTCTAACTTCCATTTGCATTCAGGAAAAAAAGAAGCACTTGGTCAATCTCATGGTTATGCACAGAGCAAGTTGCAGAAATGAAGAAGAGGGGAGATGAACAAGACAATTGACTGTGAAAAGGCCTGTTAATGACTGGACACAGATGGTCAGAAATAACCCAAGGATAGACGGAGGAGACACTCGCCTCTGCCAACTGGCTTGATACACAAAACTCACCCAATGAGACACAAGCTGCAGTGCTGTTAGGTCACAAACCTGATCACAGCTGTGGACGCTGTTCGTTTATGCCCTAAGCTAATGGCACAATCCCTGTTAGCCTGCAAGAGGTTAGCCACGCCTGAGGAAAACGGCTAGCCTACCTTTTTATTTATTTTTTTATTTTTTTAAACAACGCAGCATCTTGAAGTAGATTGCCTCACACTGGCATACTGCATATAGCATTAATTGGCAGTTATATTATTGCCCTCACTGCAGGGGAAAGCTGAGTTCAGCTTCAGTCACCATAGCATAATATGCTGGAAGGGCAAAAGCAGAATGAGAAAAAAAGCGCAATACTGGCACCACAAGCAGCACGTCAGCCTGCTTACACTCCAGAGTGGCACACACAGTATATACACACACACACACACACACACACACACACACACACACACACACACACACACACACACACACACACACACACACACACACATTGTTACTCCGCCCCACCAGCCCCTGCAATTTGCAGCCAAAAAAGCGAAGGGAGAGGTTTTCCACACACACAACTAACTGACATCTCATCAGCCAGCTGAAGGGCTGATTAGCACAGAGGTGACTGCGGCTGTGTTTCTGTCCAACTCAGAGGACTACACTGTCCTCACACTGACCTTGAGCTTCCTCTCTCTCTCTTCCTCTGTCCTTCTTTTCTATCCTCCTCTCTCCTTACACTCTCCCCCCTTTACCACTGCTCTTTATCTCCCGATATTCCTCCCTTCCCCTGTCCCCAACTCCTCCCTCTCCTTTTCTATTTCTGTTCTTCTCTTCTGTCTTTTCTCTCTTTCCTCTCCACTCTGTACTGCACCAATCTGCACTGCCCCTGTCCTTCCACATAGCCAGGGAGGGATCACGAGGCAAAATGCAGGCAGTGGAGAGAAAGAGGGGAGGGAAGAGAAGTGGATGGGGGAGAAAAAAACTGGCAGGCTCCCCCTTTGTCTGCAGGCGATCAGTTACAGTCTTGGTTGCCGATGAAATTTAATCCCCACCACATTTACATGCCAAGTTTGACTTCTGGCAAGCCTTATTAAATAGATTTGTAAATCATTTCATCTTGATTAGAATCTGTTCTCAAGGGATCAACATTTTTTCGCCTTGCTTGTGTTTTGTTATGTGCCCAATCTGTGCCCATTGGTGTTAAAATTTGAAAGTCAACCCTTGGTGGTGTTATTTTTCTGTGTGAGTGAGTGTGAGCAGTAGGTTTAGGGGACAAAGAGCGATGGGTGCCAAGTCCCGTTCGTCACTGGCCAAGCCACTGTGTCAGCATGTCTCCTATCTCTGGAGGTCATGTCGGTGGGCTAGCAACTGCTATGATGTGTCCTCTCTGTATTAGGCTGACACCACAGTGTCTTTAGCATGGAACAATGTCATTTCAAATTGTGCCTAATCAGATGGCATTTTGTAATTGCCAGCAAGCATCTTATGAATATGAATTCATAATTGTTCAATTACAAGCCGACTGCATCATATTTATTGGCTTATTTTTTTTTCTCCTGCTGGCCTCGGCCAATTATAGGATTTAAATCTTGAGGCAATCAAGTGATAAGGGTGAGTCGTTTAGTGTTTGCTGTCACTATATAATTCTCTCGAATGTTAAACATGCATCTGGGAGGGCTGTATTTGTCAGAAGGCTGTGCATGGAGGTGCACCTGCCTAATTGAGTGGTAATGAGCTGTCAGGAGTGCGGGCTTGGTGATTGGCTCTCGGCGGGGTGTCCCGTGCCAGTGGGACGTATGGGCTGGCCCGGCCCTGCTGGAGGATCAGCCAACCCTGCAGGCTTGAGTGGGCGGAGCGTGGTAAATTAGGGTGGAGAGGCCAAACGACGCTGGCTGCGGAGACATCCTGTGGCTTTCACTCGTCTGTGGGATTTATTTAGGTTGTTTACAATTATCCTCACCCCTGATTGGGTTTCATTTCTTTGTGTCAGAGGTGGGAGAAGATTTCAGATTTTTTGCTTTAGTAAAAGTAGCAATATTGCACTGAAAGCATCATATGTAAATAAATAAAAAATTTAAAAAACTTATTGTGCAGTTTGGTCCCTTTCTGTTATTTAATAAATTATATATATAATTTAATATATATATATGAAATAATTTTCACCGATATATATGCTTTATGTAAAATCCTAATCTACAAAGTAACTAGTAACAATAAAAAATCCTTTGAAATTCCTTGAATACAAGTATAAAGTAGCATAAAATTGAAATACTCAAGTAAAGTAGAAGTACCTTAGAATTGTACTGTAAAGTACCTTAGTAAATCGACTTTTCCCCTCTGTGGATTGTTTCTTTTATTTGTTTGATTAACTATAACATAAACACAATAAGCTTTGGAAAAGCAACTATGTTTGGAATTGTTGTGGAGAAAGTTTACAGGATGTCAGGGTTCATCTCATTTTGTTATTGCGGAGGAGAAGTTCTCATCCGACTGAATGGCATCTATTTTGGTT